TAAGAGGTCAAGATGCTGATGTTGATAAAAATTATTCAGATATTATGCAAACATTTTAAAATATCATTCACAAAAGCAAAGACCGCTTGGCTAATTTCTGCGTTATTGGTTATTGGTTATTGCAATTACATAAATTTTCAGGCTTGTGTGCTCAAAATAGGCTTATAAACCTTCGTCAAGTAGAAGAGGACAGATAGCACAATAGGAGAGGCAGCATCAAGTAGTACCACCTCCGATATCCTAATTTCTGTGTTATAGAAAAAAAGTGGAGGGTGTTTAAAATTGTTAAAATCGTTGCCAATGCATGATTGTAAAAGCTCCATTTGTTTTGACATCACAGAAGCTTATAATTTTTTACATTTATACAATTATACGACTTGGCACAAACTGTTTTTGTATTGTAATTTTTTCATTGAAGCGAAAATACATATAAAATATAGATTGCGAGCTTAAGAATCTGATTAGTGCTGTTTGGTACAGCAGTAATAGTCCTTAAGTTTTTGAGAATTGTGTTATCAAATATTATAACGGTAACTATCTTTGGCGACCAGCTTGGTCATCTTTCAAAATTATCTTGTACAGCACATAAACTTTAATGGTAACCAGTCTGAATGCACGGCGTAACTGCATTTTTATATTCTAATTCGTTAACCCTTACTCCATTCTTTACACCTTAATTAGTTTTAAGCAATGTATTAACGAAATTTCTAACTGTCTAGCTATTGTTAGCGACTTTGTCCGAACTTTGATTAGAACTGATTTTTATATTCAACTTCGATATATATGATTCAACTTCCATCAACTTGATTTTTTCATTCGAACTTCGGCTTTGCCAAATTACTTTGATTTCAATTTTAACTATTTTCAAGACTTATCCGTAATATTGTCAAAGCAGGGGTGAAAGCGAGACGGAAAAGAGAAAAGGCTGGTAGTAAAACCATTTCAGTTATTGCTAGTTTTCATTTCAGTTCAGTTATTGCAGTTATTGCTAGTTTTCGGGAGGAGTTTAATTATTATTTTTTTAAACTATTCAATAATATCTATTTTCGTTCGTTCGTTCGTTCGCTGTAGTGGAACTGGGCATCTGAGGAGTTACGGCCCTTTTCCCATTCATCTTGAAGTTATACTTAGAAACATACATGACAAAATTAAAGTTTGGGGAGCAAATGGAGTTCTTGAGAAAAGAAAAATGGCACTTTGCCATTATTAGGCAATGACAAAATTATAAGTAATAAAAATGTACATGGAAAAGGTAAAATTAAAGTACAATGGAAAAATAAACACAAATGAATATTTACAGTTTGGAAATACATACAAAAGGAGGGCGAGTTAAAGGATTGTGAGGATGTGTGCATATGTGTAAGTAAATGTGGCTCTGTTAAGTAGAGACCCGGCCGTCAGTGAGTGTTTGTGTTGTTAAATGTTAGTATGATATCAGAAGTGTAGAAGTGTGCAATGGGTCGAATTTTTGCATCTTCTTTGAGATTTATGCAGTCGAAAATATCATTAAAATTTGCGGTATTGCAGGTGGCGGCTTTAATAAAGAAGTTTCTATTTAATTTGTTGAAATGATGGTCAAAGCTGTCAGTGTTAAGATCTCTATGAATGGCGTTGTTGCGGATAAACCATCTGGCTCCCGTGAGTTTTCTCAAGATGTTGTTTTGGAGTACGATAAGTTCTTTGAGGTCTTTTTCGGAGGCGTTACACCTCGCAGGTGAGGCGTACGTCATGATAGGACGTATCATCGAAGTATACAAATATCTATTTTATCATTGAAAAGAAGCAGATATATGTTAAAATCTTAAAGAAATCTTGATAGTTTCAGATATTTTATTTTTCACGGAAAAAATGCTATAATAAAATGTCTTTCGTACCAGTTTTTCATCTTTTCCGTCTTGCTATATAAGGGCTTTCAGCCATGTGTCAAAGTTCCTTATGTATTGAATTTTAGTAATAATTTGAAATCTGTCCGACAGTCATTAAATCACACAACGCATAGTAAGTATGAGTTTGAGACATTCTGCACAATGGGCGGCAGAAGTACTGTTGTTGTTGACGTTTGCCTGTTAAGACAGAGGGGCTGCGATTGTTTTTGTTTTCCAGTGGCGCCATCTATGGCCAAGAATTCGACTTCTGCCACACCGTACGTCACACCCGTTTATAGGGCGGACCCATTCATTCATCCACAGATCGTAATTTTGACCTGAATCAGAGAATGATCGATCTCCAATCCAGGACCCCCAGAGGTATTGATTTTTTATGGGAACNAAAATATACATTGGGAGATTAAGAATCTGATAAGTGCTGTTTGGTACAGCCAACGCCTCCTATAACTGAAAGTCTCCACACGGTTTTTTATAGGTAGTCCGATCAGACCACTATGAAGGATATCCACTTACCGAACGAGTCATTTAATACAAAATATAGTTAATATAAGAAAGTGGTAGCAAATATATGACTAAAAATTTACTTTATTTATGAATATTATTAGTTTGCCTTATTTACTTGTCAACCACTTCAGATTCAATTCTCAAATATATAAGATAAATTTCTCTCAATTACTTTTATAAAAGGTTTTGGGTTCATGCGCACTACTGGTTCACTTTTTAAACAGTCTGCGCGGACTACTTATAAGAGACCGTGTGGATGCTTCTTGATGTAGGAGGCGATGGTACAGCAGTCAGACCTGGCATCAGTAATAGTCCTTAAGTTTCTGAGAATTGTGTTATCAAATATTATAACGCTAACCATCTTTGGCGACCAGCTTGGTCATCTTTCAAAACTATCTTGTACAGCACATAAACTTTAATGGTAACCAATCTGCATTTTTATATTCTATTTCGTTAACCCCTCCTCCAATCTTTACACCTTAATTAGTTTTAAGCAATGCATCAACCAAATTTCTCACTGTCTAGCTATTGTTAGCGACTTTGTCCGAACTTTGATTAGAACTGATTTTTATATTCAACTTCGATATATATGATTCGACTTCGATCAACTTGATCTTTATATTCAAACTTCGGCTTTGCCGAAGTACTTTGATTTCAATTTTAACTATTTTCAAGACTTGTCCGTGATATTGTCAAAGTTCTTTATGTATTGAATTTTAGTAATAATTTGAAATCTGTCCGACAGTCATCAAATCGCACAACGCATAGTAAGTATGAGTTTGAGACATTCTGCATAGTGGGCAGCAGAAGTATTGTTGTTATTGACGTTTGCCTGTTCAGGCAGAGGGGGTGCGATTGTTCTTGTTTTCCAGTGGTGCCATCCATGGCCGAGAATTCGACTTCTGCCACACCGTACGTCACGCCCGTTTATAGGGCGGACCCATTCATACATCCATTCATTCATCCACAGATCGTAATTTTGACCTGAATCAGAGAACGATCGATCTCCAATCCAGTACCATCCCTTGATTTGTTATGGGAACATGGAGGACTTTTGCGACTCGACAGATTTAACGTGCGTCAGTCACTTTACTACACGGGTAGTCTTCGGCCGGCGGTTCGAACCCACGAACTCTCGGACATGGGCCCAGCTCCCTACTGACCAGGCTATTCCGGTCAGCAGAAGTATTGAAATTATTAATTATGTCCCTTTGCTCCATCACGTGATGTACTTCCTCCTCAACGCGCTGATGCTATAAATATTTGACTGGAAATCTGTGCTATTTTTTTTCTAATCTAAATTTTTTTTTATATATATTTAGCACAGTACTTTAAAATACAAAATGCATTATATGGTCATCTATAATTTTTTATACAAAACTGTAGGGGATAGTATATAAAACACATATCAAATAATTAAATTTGACAAACAACAATATCCTACTCATACCAATAATAAGTACTCTTATAGGTGCTAAGATTTAAAAGTGGATACAGAATGATACAAAATCAATTGAATTGCAGCTATTTGATTGCATTGCTTTAGAAATGAGACTCTGTAGCTTCAGCAGAGTACAGAACACCGAATCTGCTGAGCAGCACAACGCTGCTGTATGTTTCTCAGTTAAAGGTGAACGCCAGTTTAACAGACTTTGCTTTATGAAGCATTGTTATAAAATCGTCCAATCCTGAGAAAACATATAAAGCTAAAAAAAACATATATATTATTACAAAATGATGGTATGAATTCTTCGCGGTACCATGCTGGCACATCACAGTGCAGTTCTCTGTCTTGAGGCTGAGAAGTTATGATTGAGTTGTCAATTTGAAAAATAATGATAGCTACAATAAAAATCCTAAATGTTCTATGGTTAAAAGTTTTTGTTTTGTCATGTTTTATTTACAATATTTCCTATTTTATCACATGATAGAAATATTTGAAAATCTTAGTGGAAGAAGCAGATAATTGACATTTTCATGCGTGTCTGTTAATCAAGAGGAAAATAACATAGAATGGTTGCATTAAAATGGGTGATATGTTTACTGTAACGGAATCGTTTTCACTTTTACTTCAATTTTAACATAAAAAATCCGCATTGGTTTTGAGTATGCCTGCTTGATTTGTAATTCAAATTAATTAGTTGTAAATAAAAAAAGGCAAAGAATCACAAGCCCCACCTTCCAAGTAGTCTGTAAAAAATACAGTACGGATGCCACATTTTTTCTTCTTACCTTGATTATTGCCACTCTGAAAATGTCGCTTTCCTGGTTCATCCACTACGCTCTTCAATTCTAAATGGTATGCAGCTTAGGAGGTATCAAAGGTAGAATGTACCACTGGTTATCAAATGTACTCCTTTTTTTAGGAACTACCCTCCCCATAAATCTCCAAATATTTGTTTCTGCGTATCTCACCATATCTTAAGAACTTTTTAAGTGCATCGAAACATTTTTACAAGCAATGACAGCGTATAGAAACCATGTTATAGTTTTTGTTATGGTTACGAAAAAAAGTTTTAGAGAAAAGTTCAAAATGGCACATTAATTATATGGGTTGTATATTTGATTTTTTTTTTAAATTAATATTTATTCCTTTTTTTTCCTTTTTAGAAAGACCTCCTTCAGAAGCAACCTTCACTGGGGAGGAATATCTTCATTTTGATGTTCGGGGTAGTGGCGGAGAGCCCCTGGTCAGTTGGAGCGACCAGGTGTCTCTACAATTCCGCAGCAGACAATCTGCGGGATTATTATTCTTCGCTGCAGACTTGGGTGCACATAGTACTGGTAGCGAAGACTTTTTGCACGTCGCCCTCAAAGGAGGTGGTATAGCTGTTCACACCAAACTCGGATCTGGTCACGTCGAGAAAGTAGTCCGACCCTCTAAAGTTCGATTTGATGACAACCAATGGCACAAAATCGTCATACACAGAAAAGTTCGTGAGGTAAGCCAACGTCCTTTAAAATTTTTAAATTAGATTAAATTTAAAATTTTTCCTTCAAAATTTAAATAATGATAAATTTAATTATAAATTTATCAAATGTATTTACTGTTTGAAACTGGAAAATTAACTATCAACTTCAAAATCGGGCTGTTCTGATGGGGCAGGTGGTTAGAGTGTCACTGATTTACTAGTTAGGGAACTTTGTGAGTTTTGAATTGGATACTGGATGCCGACGAAACAATTAGCACGTATACACAGCAAGGTGTTCTTTATAACTGTCGTAACTGAAAGACCTCAGGTGGGTGTGCGGAAGATTTGAGCGAGAATGCAAGTTCAATCACTGCCCACATCATTTGAATAGGTTCAATATCAAGTGGCGTACTTATGGCCGTAAAAACAAAATCCCTAAAAACAGAGCGCTTGGATATGATAAGGTAGTGCGTGTATATTAAATAGAATTAGGAAATCCTTTCCACTTTAATTATTATTTTACTCACTTCTCAAAATGTTTATAAGCAATCGTACAATCTAGCAACTATATATAGGCATATCCAATTGTAAAGAATTTTTTGAGGAAGAAAAGGACGTATGTTTGCTCTCATATTTATGTCTACGAACCATAACTTAAACTAAAGTTAGTTTGTAACAAATAATTTTCTGCAGCATGCTTCAAATCTTACGTTAGAAAAAAAAAATTTCATGGAGACAGACAATAATTTTTAACTGGTTGTTCATATTTTTTTCTTGAACTGGTTTTCTTATAACTGCAGCTTTAACCCCTTGGAGACCCTGATTCATAAAAGCATTCGTACAAAATCAGAATCAGGATGTAAATAAATTAAAAAAAAGTAGCTTAAATGTAGGCGTTGCTAATTTCACAGACTTACTTTGCTTTCACTTTAGTCATTGTTAGTTTAATCATATATATAATCAGTGTTAGTTCAAAGTATAACTAAATAATTTTATTTTGAACTAAGGTAGTGGTGAATTAAATAAATCAAACAATTATTACCCCGCCCACATATAAACTGCTAAAGAACTACTTTGGTTACCAGTTTTATCTTTTTACCCTGATTGATACGGTTCTTATGCTGGCACGTATTTGTGACAGTCGGCGCGAAAGGGTTAATTCAGAACAGCTTGAAAAGCAACATTCCTAATTGGCTTAAATATAACGCGGGAAAATGAATGAACATTATCATTAAAGAAAAAACAGCAAGAAATTATTAGCTTCATTTGCTAGTTTTTAACAGCAATACTTTTTAACACTTTACCGACCGGTAGCGGTTCGAACATACTATGCCCTTTCACCGCCCGTTCAGCTGCAGATCGTCCGTAGTATTTTATTTAATTTAGTATTTTTCAGTTTAAGTCATTTTTTCACCACTAAATATCAAAAATTATAAGTATCATGTGAAATGCAACGTTGCAGCAATATTCTGCTGGATACTATATTAATAAGTGGGCGTAACTATCCTTCTCTTACGAACTCTACTATATAATTTGCTACCACTTTATTAAAACTTTTCCAGAAAGCGGAGCAGTTGGCATCCCTGCATGCTGAATTGGTGGAAAACGTAGTCACCACAGATCGGTCAAAAGTCGATTAATCGACGACCGGTCGGTAAGCGCTGGAGAGCAAACGCTGAATAATCTACGGCCGGTCGGTATACGATGAGAACAAAACGTCGATTAATCGACGGCCGGTCGGTATGCGCTGAGAACAAAACGTCGATTAATCGACGGCCGGTCGGTAAAGTGTTAACAAATGTAAAATGCAGTTTAACACTATTTCCACTAAACAGTATCAAAATGCACTGTAAGCTTCAAATTATAGTATAAATTTATGTATTTCCTTCACGGCTAATTTCTTGATTTTTCGTGGAATAGTTCAAGAGTTATCCAAAAATTATTTAGTTTTATGAAAATATTAGTTGAATTTTGTTCATTTTTATAAGGTCTTGTGAGGTGTATTTATTTTTTTGATATTTAAATAAACGATATTATGCAGCATCATACCAGAATCCCGATTTCAGAAGTAACGGAAAATACAGGAATAGTTGAATAATTTTAATACGTATTCGCTTATTTTCCGCCAGGTTACTCTTTAGCGCAAGCCGTTGCAGCGAATAATTTAGAAAAATGAATAACGCTGCAGTTGCACACCAAAACACGCAAATCTATTAATGAATACGGTGAGCAAATAATTTGAATTTGATACCCAACAGTTTTGGTATTCATTTGCATTTAAACGTGTGACAAAATGGGCAAACGCAAAGTTGCAGTAGAAATGGTGCTAAAAAATTCAGAAATATTNTAAGATTAATAGAAAGTGAAATTAAAATTACGTATGATTATAAAGAGTATCAGGTACTTGTCCCATTTTTTTCAAATAAATGAAGAAAGAAAATGATAAAGAAAATGATTTCATTTTTAGATAAATAATTTTAAAAAATTCTCTTATAAAAAGTTTTAGCTTACTTTTTTAAAGTCAGAAAATAAAACTGTTTAAATTTGTTAATGTATCACTTAGTAAAAAAAAAATTGTTTCTTTTCAATTTTTTTAAACATATGAATTAATAATTATAACCTGTTTATAAATATATAAAGCATGCAACTATATTTGAAAAATTGATCGTTTCAGACTGTATTATTTAAATTTCTATTTGATTTAATATCATTAAAATATTATTATTTTTATGGGTGGGCTAAGTGGGTGTGGCTAATTATTTTTTGGCTAATTATTTTTTAAAAAATAATTACCTTGGTAATTATTTTCAAAAAATAATTACCCAAGTGGGCTAATTATTTTTTGAAAAATAATTGGCCCACTTGGCGAATCCTGCTTTTTAGGAAAGAGAATATATTAAAAAAAACAACCAAAAATTTGAATGACTTTTAATAAATACAATAATTTAAATTATATAAAATTGTTAAAAGAAACACACAATCTCTTCTAGAACATTTTAGTAAACACTAAAGAAAAACAAGATAGCCTAGTATCAAATTTATTGTCCACTGAAGTTAACAAGGTGTTTAAAAAACTGGCGCCTTGACTCGTTGTTTAAAGATAAATTTTTACAATAATAATTTAAACGAACTTTAAAGTATAGATGTATAATTAAACGGATAAGATGTACAAGATGATTTGCAGTAGGTTCGGTATCAAACTGATGTTCACTTAAAATTAAAAAATAATTACGAGAACAAACTTTTTCAAGAACACTAGGAGCATTTTTCATAATTAATATTTTTGAGCTTTTACAATTGGTTTGAAGGATTTCTTGTCTGAACGCAATCTCACATTCTTTGCAAATATGAAATACGTCATTTGATGGATAAACTAGTCCGCCTTCTGATTTAAAGGAAATCAGTGATAACGAAGTTGGCATTTCTTTGGGGTACAACTTTATGGCAGAAACACATACTTCACATTTTAATTTGCCACTTAAACTTTTAACAATCCAGCCTGCTAGGTAATAAATAATGTCATTTGTGCATTCACTCAAATATGCTCCGGTGAAAACAGTATCGTGATCAGTAGATGTCTGAGTAGAAGAATGACTGTCACGAAATGTTACACTAGTTGTTGCATTTATGACCGCTTTAGAAGAGATAGTGCTTGATACATTTAAAATTTTTATATCTCCGAGTGGAATACAGTTTCCTGTGGCAGCGGCTTTAATTTCTAAATTTATCAGTATTTTCCTATAGGCAGCTCTGAATTGGCGGGCTGTAGGATTGTCATTGCTTCCACCATGAAAACGAACTGAAGCAATTCAATATGATCCTGGCACAATTTATAGACAGGAAAATATATTAATGCTGGATCTTCACAGCAAACTAATTTGTTAATAATAAATCTCAGGCTCTGAGCACATATTAAGAACCCAAGAAATCCAGTCTTTCTTCGCGACTGCAAAATACTGGGTCCATTTCGGCTCTCTTTTAAATTGAAAATATAAGACTCTGCTTTATGCAAAAATTCAAAACAAGATTCGGCATTTTCTTTAGAGATTGCCTTTTTGAGGCCATGTTGCCAAACAGATTTTGAATTCAATAAATCAAATAAATTGTTGAAAATTCTTAAAAACTCTACGGTTGCTTCACTATTTTCAAATTCCTTCAACTTCAGTTTTACAGTGCAATATTCAATTGCATCAGCAACACTTAAGCTGAACAATTGAGCAGCTAGTTTTACCTTCATCTTTTGCTTGGTAAAGTTTATATGATTGGCTCGTAATTTATAGGCCAAGTGCAAGTTTTCACTTTGTTGCAAATTATGCAATGCTTCAATATATTTCCAATCAATAACATCAGTTGAAAACAAGCTCTTCTTTTCACCCAATGTATTACGAACTAGTTTTAGCATGTGAGGTGGATCAGGAAAAACTGCTACACTTTTATCTTCATTATCTTTGTCACTGGGATAAATAAAGCTAGTTTTTAAATTTTTTGCATCCTCAAAACTACAGCCAAGTAGTTTTGCCATAGTAAAATTGCTTGACAGCCCATCAAATGTTAATGATATGACATTAATATTATTTTCTTCCATCAATGACAAACAACTTTTAATTAAGGTTTGTTTTTGGTTTGAACTTAAACCATCACTCAAAAAATAGCCAATCGGCAGTTTGAAGTGGGAATTAATACAAACCAGAAGCAAAACAAAAGCCTCTTTTGCTAATGGTAGGCTGTCATCATCACTGTGGTTAAAACCTAAGTTTATAAGTCCATGCATTTCTTTCCCGTCAAATTCGACATGTTGGCGAATCGACATTTCATCCATTATTAATGAAAAAAATAGAGGATAGGAGGTATTCTCAATTTTAAGCTTCAAGGCATCAATTGCTTCTTTCGTGAAACCTGGTTTTCCATCAATGTGTTGATACCAACGACTTAACGTACGTTGATGGGGGAGAGATAAGCCAAAGGTCGACCGGACATACTCGTAAGCTCTCGGTGAGTAAAAATGTAAAGTCAAAGCAAATGATCTTAGT